AATACCATTTGTGCTTTCACTTGCGTTTTGTAGAAGAAATATCTAGATCTGTGGTTGCTTAATTTGTTTTTTTAACATGCAGTATAATCAGTGTGAACACACACAAACAATTAGACGGCTATATGCCACTAGTAATGAGCCAAACTGTTCCCCGGGTTTTCAGCTGACTCTCAGAGCATGTTAATTCACAACCTCCTGCATAGCTAGAAACTACAAACAGCCGTCTCTGGACACAGTTCAAGTGGTCATGAGACAAGTATTTAAGTAGCCACTACATTTGAAACAACCATGCAATTTGTTTTAAGAAGAAAAGAGATAACAGAAACTGTTGCGAAATTTCTTTTTGGTGCCATTTCTATTCGCCCTTTATTTAATTGATGGGTATACTTACTTGGTAATTCCTTGTTTCTGTATTTTGCAAGTATTATTCTATGCTGCTGTTGTTGTTGTTGTTGTTGCTGTTGTTTTTGTATATGGGTTTGCAAGGGTTACATGCCAATAAAGGTAACTGGACTGGGAAGAAGAAGATAAGAGATTGGATTTATACCCCGCCCTTCATTCGGAGTCTCAGAGCCGCTTACAAACTTTCCCTTTCCCTTCCCCTCCCCACAACAGGCACCCTGTGAGGTAGGTGGGGCTGAGAGAATTCTTTCAAGAACTGCCCTTTCAAGGACCGCTCTTGTCAGAACTATGGCTTGCCTAAGGTCATCCAGCAGCTGCAAGTGAAGGATTGGGGAATCAAACCCGATTCTCCCAGATTAGAGTCCGCACACTTAGCCACTATACCAAACTGGCTGTTAAAAAAGCAATAGTGAAGGGGAGGTTAGAAGTTTGCAGCCCAAGAACTGCCTGGTTAGTTATAATCAGCGTGTGAAATTCAACCCCTTCTCTCTCCCTTTCCCCACTCACATAGCCAAGCCAAAGTATGTGTGTGGGGGAGGGGTATTTTTAGCCCCTGGTGGATGCTGTGGTGATGGTAGAAGCTAGTATAATGATAATATCACCCTGTCAGGATCACATCTCCAAAGCTAAGCAGGGTTGGCCTTGGTTAGTATTTGGATGGGAGACCACCAGGGAAGCCCGGGGGCACTACTTAGGGGGCAGGCAATGGCAAGCCACCTCTGAATGTCTCTTGGCTTGAAAATATTATGAAATTGTTATAAGTCCCTTGCGACTTGATGGCACTTTCCACCGTCACCAGTCATGCTTTCTGTCTGTCGCGGTTTCCTTTGCATTCCTCTCCTCTTCTGCCCAGAGCATACAGCTTTTCCTGGTTTAAGAGCTCCATAATTCTTCCCTGTTCCTCAAGATGTGATCTCCCCTTCTTCAGGTTCTTCTTTACCAGTCTGTTGATTCCCCTGCACCATTTCTTCAGTCTCCTTGCCTGGGACTCTCTGTCCCTCAGTTTCCCTATGTCCCACCAGGACCTCTACCCAGAGATCAGCTTCCTGCCTTGTAAGGTTTTAACCCCAGCCAAACTGACAACTTTCCTTCTTCTCAAAAGAGATGGACTACACATTGCTTAGTTCCCAGAGCAACTGATATTCTTTGTCACCAACCAGCTCAGCTAATCAGTGTCAAAGCCTTGAGTGCTGGAAGTGCAATGCAGTATAGATTAAGAGAACACAGCGTTTGCGGAATACTTCATTTCTTCAGCTCTCTTTCATGTGTGGGTTTTTATAATTTTTTTTTTTTGGTTTAAATATGAAGTATTTTAGAAACACTGAAGAGTGAAGGGAAAGCAATGCATGGACTTCACACCCTTGGAATTCAGGGAGATATTCTCAGTAAATTCATGAGATTGTCCGTCCATGAAGCTGATGATGCTTACGCATTGGACTTCCGCCACTCTTCAATAATAGTAAGTAACATACATATTTTGAAATTGTAAGTGCTAAAAAAATCCAGTAATTAATTTGGTTGTAAACTGCTAAGAAATACTTGGGGCTCTACCTCTCTTCTCACTCTGGTGTAGTTTTAGGTGCTTGGCAGGTTGCGTTAATTCTTTCTAAAAGTTCTGCTGCCTTCAGGCAATGCTGTTTAGCAGCACTTCCAGGAAGTCCTTGGGATTTCCTTGCAGTGACTGGTCAAAACTCTATCCAGCAAGCAATGATGTATCACTATTTTGGGGAAGAATATTGGTGGCGATGGTAGTAGCCATTTCTATAGCATTGTCACTGTACATAGAACTTTACAGAATACCGTAAAGAGTTAACATGCAAAAATCTTTTCGGTATTTTTGCGTGTGTGTGCCCGTGCTTGAAAGTCTACTAGCACTTTAATATGTTGTTGCTATATTTATGGTTTTAAATTTGTATTTTAATGGATTTTATACTGTATATTGTATTATTGTATTTAATACAATATTGCATTGTTTTATATCGCTTGTGTAAGCCGCCCTGGGCTGGCCTTGCTGGGAAGGCGGGGTAAAAATCTAATAAATAAATATAAGTCATGGTGACCTCTGGTGACTCCTACTTGGGGCACGGAGGACGTTCAGAGAAGTGGCTTGATAGCCTGCCTCTGCCTCCCGGCCCTGGTATTCTTTGGAGGTCTCCCATCTAAATACCTGTCAGGACCATCCCTGTTTAATTTCCAAGATCTGACAAGATCGAGCTCGCCTGGGCTATCCAGGTCAGGGCAACAGGCACAATTTTGATAACTGGAGAGGCAAAGATAAGAAGTGTTGGGGAGTTGAAATATGGAAGGGATGAGAGAATATCTGTCAAAAAATGTCAAATTAGATATGTTGGTATGATTGATTCTTTAAAGAATTTTTATGTTGAATGTTGAAGAGTACAGGATGAAAAGGGGACTTTGGGAAAGGATTTGCGCTTTACAGCAAGCATTCTGATAAGTAGCAGTTAGCGTATGGCTACAGGGATTAAGGCTTGGTTCAGATGTCGGAGAAAACCATGGTTTGTTTAAAGCTAACTGTGGCTAGTATGATTGTCCAAATGTGGGCCACTATTCTAACTGTGGTTAAGATTTGTGTCTGAAATCGTGGTTTGAAGTTTGTTTATTAACCACCATTAGTCATAACTATGGTTTTGTGTGAAGTATTGGAGTATGCAAAAAAAAAGTTTGTTTTCAGGTTTGGGTATAGTGGACCCCCCCAAAATTGATCTTTCCTGATATTCCTGAATCCCAATACCGGTACAGTATTCTGAGTTGAGATTTTTTTGGGAACCTTGAATTTTTCAGCTCCATTATACCCAATGGGATCATTTTACTCAACGTGGAATCTGTCTGGGAGTGTCTGGGGGTTCTGTTTTTTGAGGTAAGGACATCAAATTTGTGGCATAAGTGCTGGTGCCTCTCCTCATAAGAACTCGCAAGTTTCAAAAATATTGGACCAGGGGGTCCAATTCTATGCCCTCCCAAAGAAGGTGCCCCCATCCTCCATTGTTTCCAATGGAGGGAAAAAATAGCAAAAAACCACAAGGGACCCCAGCAGAACAGAATCTAAGTCCCAGAGAATCTCTGCTGTAGAAACTGAAGGGTTTTTGTTTTGCAAACATAGCAGAACCAGTGTAATGTGCCCAGCAGAACCAGTGCTACTGTGGCAGCGCAAACCCAACAGGACTAAGGTCAAACCAGAGAATCTTTGCATTAGAAACTGAAGGGGGACATTTTTGCAAGCCCAGCAGAACCAGTGAAAAGCACAGAATGCCCAGCAGTACCAGTGCAATGACAGAGTGCCCAGCAGAACTGACTGCCATTGTGGCAACACCAGTTCAACAGGACTGATGTCAAGCACACAATCACAATCCAAGTGGGGGGAGGGGATTGGAACTCTGAGCAACCTTTTTATTGTTATTCAAGCTTCTTTGTTATATATGCAATCCATTCTGCCTGTTAAAGACTTTCATTCAGCTCACAAGCTTTTATAAATGTATCCCGAGTAAGGAAATTTGTTTTGTATGGATCTTTCAGTTATTTGGCTGTGGGGAACTTGAATATCATTCATTAATAACATCACCAGTTCTTCTTCATTCAGAATGCTGTTGTTGAATTTGTTAAGACTCAAGTGCAATTGAAAAACCAATTATTCCTCTGTTCAGCCACCATATTTCATCCTTGTATTTGTTAACTGTAAGTGTGCTTTAGCGGATAAACAATTAAAGAAGGATCTCTGGCGAGAAATGATAATTTTTCTTATAATTGAGGAAGAAATCGAAAGCAGGAATCTCAAAGAGTGCCAAATTGCCCTATATTGACATGTACAGAAATACTGGTAGTGGCTGAACAAATTTTAATTTCTTACTTACTGCAAAAGGTATTGTAGCATTCTCAAGAGGACTAGATTCTTCTCTTTATGTGTTTTTTTTAAAATTGAAACTTAATGACTAAAGTGCATTGGACTGCAGTAGACTGGTTTTTGTCTGTTTTTAAGCAGCTTTTCTCCATTTTTATATTTGTTGTTGTTTCCATTGCTTATATAAATCAGACAGTGCCCCCCCCATTCAACTAATAAAAACTCATTAATTTAAAAAAATTAGGAATGCTGAAGCACTTTCAGTATTTAGTACTGGAAATGTTAAAAAAAAAAAAACTCAACTCCTGAGAAACGTATTGGGCCTTTTCAGAGAAAAGATCACAACACTGAACTAGCTTCAAGTCCAGTGGCCCCTTTAAGACCAACAAAGTTTTCTTCAAGGTATAAGCTTTCGTGTGTACGCACAACTGTTTCAGATATATTGAAATGGAAGTTACCAGTCCATACATATAGGTGGAGGGTGAGCAGCAAATTAGCATACAACATAATGAAGATGTTTAACAGATGCAAGGACCAAAGTGGAATAACAAGCTTCGTTTATATGGCCACCATTTGTTTGGGTTTAATTCCCGG